GGGCATTGTGGATCAACCTATAGCATTTGGACTGCAGTAGTTCAAGAAAACAACTCACCATCACCTTCTCAAGGAGCTGAAAAGGTGGGCCCAAATTGAAGTGATATTTGTGATTTGCTTTATGAGAACCCTGTGGTAGGGAAAGAGAGCAGATGGAAAGGAAAAGCCTGGACACTATGCTACCCTTAAGGTGATGCTGGAGATGGCAAGACATTGACAATTTTGACTGCCAACTAAGAACATGGCCAACCTAATGGTGAGTTACTTGCAGCAACAGTGTACAGGTATAGGGATTTCACTGGTATGTACAAAGTGTACGCCATGCTCTGTAGCATTGACATTGTAAAGATGTGGGGTGTAGATACCAGTCACATGCCAAAGTGACAAAAAGCTGAAGCACTCACCAATGAGGGTGCCAAAAATCTGTTGATTCTATCATTGGCGTCCTCAGTAATTCTGATTGAAGGACCTTCTGCACATCAAGTTCCTGTGATGAAAGTTGTCAATGCATTTGCACCTGTACAGAAACCTCTGGAGGTTTTTCCAATGACAGCTCTGTGCTGTAGACAAGTCAGCTTGCAGAGATGACACATGCAAATTTCTGTCACCTCATAAGGCTAAGAAATAGGAACGGTGGCTGTTTAGGCTCGATTCTCTCCTCTTTTCAATAGGATCATGATCTGATACTTCATGCCTGCTTTCCTGCCCTTTTCCCACAACCCTTAATTTCCCCACTGATCAATAATCTATGTATCTCAGCCCTAAATATAAACAAGAACACTGCACCCCATAGCTCTCTAGCAAGGTAGCTCCAAAGTAACAATATGTTCAGAAGAAATTCTTCTTAATCGAAATCTTAATTTGGTGCCCCTAGTCTAACACTAAGCCTGCTGCTCTTGGATTCTCCCATGAGGGAAACATCCTCGCAGCACTTACCCTATCAATCCCCTTAAGGGGAGCTGTGTTGTGTGCATTAAGAATAAAATGATTCAAAGTTGTGCTTGATGGATGTGTTCTCACAAATCAAAGCGAGTAACACAGCATACAGTTCTACTAGATCAGCAGTGTTCAGATGAAATGTGCCTGGACCAGATGTATCATAGCATTCGTGCCATCCTGATTACTTTGACTCACGAGCCTCCCAATTCACTGCACAGTTTCAGCACAATTCTTTGCATGTTCCTCCTCAGAAAGGAAATGTGTCAGTCTATAGAGCTTCAACCTCAAGTACACAGGCCTATAGATGGGGTAGGTTACAAGTCCAGTATGGTTGATCACATCCTATGCATAGGATTCTTGCAGGCATGCATGACATGCTGTCAAGTAATGAAGGCTCCTTGGCAGCATTATAGGAAGCTGTAATGATATTATGGCTTTGGGAGGTATATTTTGTCCTGTGATAAAAAGGTGTAGAGCTAGATGAACACAGCAGGCTAAGCAGCAGAGGAGCAGGAAAGCTGATGTTTCAGGCCTAGATCCTTCCTACTATCTCTGAAAGATATTTTGTCCTGTGTTTCTTTTCCCCTCAAAAAAAAAAGGGTTTTGAGCCATAGGTGGAGCTTAGCTCATCAGCTCAGAAGAGACATCTCAGCACCTATGGCTCAAAATCTCAAAAATAAAAAACAGGGCAAAACACACCTCCCAAATCTATAGTATTGTCACAAAGCCCATTGACCTAAATCAATAGTGGTTCTTGTAAATGCATGGTTTTAGTTATAATGCATTACTGCCTCCATCTTGTGGGTCACGTAAAGTTACAAGCAGCCATCTCTTTATTCCTTCTCCTACAAAGACATTGACAGCACATCAATGGTATCACCCTACAGATGAAGCTGTGCTTGCTGCCAGGATATTTGTTGCATTATATACCAGTTTAATTCTTAATTTTCCAGTTCTGGCAAATGTGATCTGCAAGATGCTCTGCTGAGCTCAAGCCAGCCATCAAAGTTCATTCCCAATCTTGGCAACAAAGCCAAAGATCTTCAAGTCTATAGTGATTTTAATGATTATGGACAATGCACAACAGCCAAGTCTGAGCCCTCTCAAAAGGACACTTACCTTGATACCATTTATCTTAATTCCTATGGTAACAAATGTATGATGTTATGCAGCAGCTGCCTCTTCAGCAGTTTGATGCTGAATGTGTGGTCTTTGTTGCTCCTCTTTTACCCAGGATCCTCATACCCCATCTCAAGTCATCCCCAACTGGAATTCCATCATAGAATCCCTAGTGGAAACAAGCCCTTCAGCCCAACAAGTCCACACTGACCCTGAGCATCCCAGCCCGACCCATCCTCCCGCAACACTATGGCAATTTGGCATGGCCAATCCACCTAACTTGCACATCTTTAAATACCTTAACCTCTTCTCTAGCTTTTGCCTTGTTTGCCGTCAGCTGTATTTGATGTTTACTGGATCACTTATGGTCCCACAATCTTCAAACTGGCTGAGATCTGAGAAACTTGTTCCAGTATCTCTGCTCAAATGGAATTGTCAGTGGGTAAATGCCCTTCTCATCTGAGCAAACTTATGGCACAGTCAGGACTAGCTCATTATTTTGATGTCTCATTCTACCAAACTTGTTCCAGATCCAGCACAGTTCTTAAAGTTTTTCTTCAAAAGGTTACATATTGGCCCTTAGCAGTTGACAAGCTACTAACATTTTAATTTCTTACATCAGATATCTTACTAGGTTCCACTTGCAGCCCTCATCCCAAATCACTCACCAATATTACAGCATTGGGAAATTACATGCCCTCCCCTATTTGCACCATTGCTTGTGTAGCAATTTCCCCTCATTTGGATACCATTCAAATTGTGGTTAGAATTGAAACTGATGTTTGCCAATTCTCCCTTCATGTCTAGCAGCCTAATCCCACTTTGCACCTCAAACCATAATGCTGCAGAAGTCACTTGATTACAGTATTCAAGCATATATGTCAAATACAATTTGTTTGACCCCCCCCATCCTTTCAGATAATAAGTTTGAGATTCCCACAAACCTGGGTTGAAAACATTCTCCATTTCCATCCAATTCTACCAATTACTATAAAAAGCCAATGCTATGCTGCCCCCTGCCCCCACCCAACCCACAATTCTATTCTTACAATTCTAGCATAAGCTTCCTGCTCTGATCTGTTTACCATGATTAATGAAAAGGCAATTGGCCTACCAACATCACATGAATCTCATGAACGAGCAGAGGTCCCACATACCTTCAAGGGTCTACAGACATTCACTTTGAGGCTGCTCTGTTCCTTCACAGTGCTCAGTATGCTATCATTCAAAGTCTTTTGCTTTATCCTCTTACTAATGTAATTCATTTTGCACTGCTCACTTGACAGCAATCTTCCTGCTAAGTATGCTAAATACCATGAAGTTCTTGTTCTATAAAACGTATGCCACTTTCCATTGTATCCATTGACTTATGGTTTTTCCAAGGCCTTGCTGCAAACAAAAAAACGACCTTTTTTAAAATTTGTACATATCCTATTCCTTTCACCCAGTGTCCTTACACTACATACCATTTTTCAGACTTTTGGAACCTAATTTGGACAGGCATAAATGGATAATTCATTTAATTAATTTGGATTCAATACACACTCTGCATTTAGCACCCAGGTCGAAGGGCAAGAGGTGCACTATTTGGTCAAAATTTAAATTTCCTGAGAAGGGAATCAAGAACAAACCATGGTCATAATTTTTAGCTGAAGATGCAAGAGCATAGGCATGAAGTTTAAGAAAACATTAAGGTCTACTTGTAAAGACCTTGTTAACTGGTGTGTCGAAACCAGATCAAGAGAAAAGAAATGATTCTACAACTTCCAAACCAAATATGCTCACTACTGAAGCATCTTTATCCACATTTTAACTTTAAGATAGCAACTTCCGTACACAGTACTGCAACCTAGCCAAAAAAAGGGGTATGCAATGGAATAAAAATAAGTTTAACCTACCTTTAATACAGAGGACAACCAGCAACACCAAGCTCAGCCAGCAAGCAAACAGCAGAGAAGGATTACCAGTGTCTGTTGTCAAATTATAAATTTAGGAGTCCCAGTACTTGATCAAAAAGGAACTTGCCCAACCCATACCTAAATGACTTAAGTATAATTGCATCACAATTACTATAAACATGTAAAAAGATTTTTATATTTGCACTTTATCCAAACAGATGCTTCAAAGCATTTCATAGCTAAAGTAGTAGGTTGGTCAGACTGTTTTCTGGGATGTCAGGATTGATGCCAGGAGAGAAACTGGATCAATTGACTATATTCTGAATATGGAGTTTGGCAGAATAAGGGGACTTCAAGCCTACAGAATTATCATAGGATAAGCACAGGAAGGATGTTCCCATTGACCAGGAGTCCTGAATCAGGGGTTAAAATCTAAGGAAACAAGGTAAGCCATTTAGGACTGAGATGAGGAGCAACATCTTCAGAGTGATGAGCCTGTGGAATTTTCTGCTACAGAAAGCAGTGGAGGCCAAAAGTTGGTTTTCACAAATGAGTTAAACACAGTTTAGGGTTGAAGAAGTCAAAGAAAGCAATGATCTTCCATGATGATATTGAATGGTAGATCAGGCTCAAAAGGGGCAGATGGGCTGCTCCTGCTCCTATTTTCCACTCCTCTCCAGTAGTGAAATACAGAACCAGTTTGCACACAGGAAGCTCCAAAGTGTGATTAGAACTAATGTTTTCATAATGCTGAGAGATAAATAGTGGCAAGGACAGGGAAATACCCCTGCTCTTTGAATGTGGTGCCATGTGATTTTTCTTTAAAAACATCCATCCAAGGCAACTAATGAAGTCTGTTTAATATCTCAGAGTTTAAAATATGTCCTCAGTACTGCACTGAGTGGCAGCCTTGATTTTTGTGCTCAATCTTGAAATGTCTCTTCGTTAAGAGTCGAGAGATTCAAAAAGGTGGGAGCGCTATCAATTCAACAATGACTGGCATGCTATAGCCAAGGATGTGCAGAGACCATAAGAGGAGACAAATCATTTCATAACAACTTTATCAGTCAATCCGTGTTGAAGTTAAAACAGTGTGGGTGACATGGCTGATTCAATCCAGGCTCTGCAGAAGACTTATTAACCTTTTGAAAGATATTAAATTGGGTAAGGATACACCATAATAAACAGAAGCTTCCCACGCAAAAAATAAATCCTGAAATCCTAGACCACTTTAAGCTGACACTGAAACAGAAAATACAAGTTTGAAAAAATGTTGAATGCATAGCAGAGGCTGAATCAGGTTCAATGATATGGTTGTACGTCATGATTCTTCAATTAGTTACGTTGTTACAGTTATCAGCAAACAGTAACTGGGAGATTTTTACCCACCACTGACATTCTCAACACAAATCAAAGAATGTGTTACTAAGAAACAAATAACCAAAGAACCCACTGGTGATTAAACTGAATCAGTCATGTAACTCAATGCAACTATAAAGAGTGCTAGAAATAAAATGGTTGCATCATTAGTGGACAAAAACACATTTCATAACATTCAACTGGTACTTCAATTATCTTAGCTTTCACTAATTAGTTTGTTGAAAACAAAATGTTACACATTTTCAACATCTACACAAGCTCACTGCTATTGAAAGTGATTTTAAACTTGCAATTCTTTGAAACCTGAAATTTTCTCATTGATTCAATTGATTCACCAGGACAGGATGCCATTCAATGCCATTTGCACCCATTTATTCTCTTCAACCAGTGTTTAAAATTACTCCACATTGTGTAGGCACGCAAGCGATTTGAATACAACTCAAATGATTCAATCTTCTTTCTTGAACTGGGTGCAAAGATGAGTTTAGCATTTTTTTCTAGTCCTCCTCCTCAATGAGTTTCCTGGAATAAAAGGGGGAAAAGTATGATTTTCCAGTTGGTCTAATATTAGAGTTCAATATTTGCATGAAGGATCAGCTTCTTTTTAAAATTAAAAACAAACTTAGTTTAAACTATTTGGGAATACAAAATGTTGCCCACTGAGAATACAAATTTGATTCTATTTAATTCCAGTTCCCAAAAATGTGTCTTTCAGACTCCAGTACAATTATTGTAGAGCCCTGCTTAACAATCAAGTTATATGAAATGACCAGTCTACTTGGTTAGTGTTAGAGCACAGATTTTTTGAAAAGCAAAGATAAATCACAAATTGATCACCTCGAAATCCGTGCAAACAGGATGAATCCCAAGTCTCCATTTCATTAAACTCACGTGTGCCTTTCTTAAGGGGGACTGGTTTGCAGAGGGCTTTAAAGTTTTGTTGCAGTGTCTCTATAAAGAAGAGAATTTTTAATTTTAGGAGCAACAAATTTCACATTAGTAGATTGAGTGGATTAAAAATGTAAATGTCCCTCAGAGGAGAATGGATCTTCATGCGTGTCAAGCATATGGTCAGTGATCACATATTAGATTTTTTAAATGCAGATCACAGCCATTCATGCTTTCCAAAAATCTCAACTCAGTTAACTGAAATGGACAAATTTGGCTTGGAAAAGGTACAACCAACATTCACAAGAATGACTTTGGCGAAGACGAGAAAAGATAGAGTATAATGATAAAGTACAATAACACTCCAGAGTCAAGAATTAAAATTGATCTAATTGAAACAGAAGACTGAGGTTCAACAGATTTCCCTGACTGGAAAGTCACATTAGTTACATATTACTGGAGGTTTGAATGGGAACTTTGGACGTCTTTGTCAAGTCTCCAGTATAGTTTATTCGAGAAACTGAGACTTCATTTAAAAGTACTGAAATAATGAGGATGCAAGACAAGACAAAGTAGTACAACAAGGAGAAAGACTGCTTCTCCTTTCCAGGCACAGTATAGGGTTCTTCCTCTATATTTTCAGATAGAACATAGGGCCTGTACAGCACAGTACAGGCCCTTTGGCCCACGATGTTGTGCCGAACTTTTACCCTAATCCTAAGGTCTATCTAACCTCCACCCCTACTTTATACTATTATCCATATGCCTATCTAATAGCCGCTTAAATGCCCCTAATGAGGCCGACTCCACTACCCTCTCCGGCAATGCATTCCACGCCCCTACCACTCTGAGTAAAGAACTTAGCTCGGACGTCTCCCCTGTATCTACCTCCACTCACTTTAAAACTATGCTACCTCCACCCTAGGAAAAAGTCTCTGGCTGTCCACTCTCTCTATACCTCTGATCATTTTGTACACCTCTATCAAGTCACTGCTCATCCTTCATCGTTCTAAAAGAGAAAAGCCCTAGCTCTCTCTCAACCTTTCCTCGTAAGACCTTCCCTCCATTCCAACATCCTGGTAAGTCTCCTCTGCACCTTTTCCAACACTTCCACATCTTTCCTGTAATGAGGTGACCAGAACTGGACACAATACTCCAGATGTGGCCAAACCAGGCTTTTGTATAACTGGAGCATAACTTCACGGCTCTTGAACTCAATCCCTCTATTAATGAAAGCTAACACACCATACGCCTTCTTAACAACTCTATCCACCTGGGTGGCAGCTTTTGGGAAACTGTGGATGTGAACCCCAAGAATCTTTCCATTAACCCTGTACTCTGCTTTCAAGTTTGTCCTTTCAAAATGAATCACCTCACTTTTCAGGGTTAAACTCCATCCGCCGCTTCTCAGCCCAGCTCTGCATCCTATCAATCAGTGTCCCTTTGTAACCTAGAACAGCCCTCCACACTGTCCACAACGTGACCCACCTTTGTATCGCCTTCGTATACATGCACCACTTCCTCTGAAATAAAGGCCAACAGTCCATTTGTGTTCCCTGTTACCTGCTGCATTTGAATGCTAGCTTTTTGTGATTCATACACATGGACTTCTAAGGGGGAATTCACAAAAAAAAAAGACTCAGACATCACCTTCTAAACCAATGACCACGCCCTTCTAGAAACACAAGGATAAAGATATATGGCCATTTGGACTTCCAGCATGCTCTCACTCAATTTAAGCCATCCTAAAACTAGCAATTGTATGATAAAACTGCGCAAGATAATGTAAAGTTATGGTGATCTACATTTAGGACCAGGCCAGGAGAGCTCATATTGCACAGTTGTAAAGTCCTATCTCTGGGCTGGGGGATCCAGGCTCAAATTTCACTGACTCCACAATGTCTGAACAGGTTGATGTTTAAAAAGAAAAAACAAGTCTGGCTCAAGGTAGCGGCTTATTAGTGCCGAACTCATTAGTGCCAGTCTTCTCCAAAATATGTTTTACATTTTCAATGATGTATTTCAGAAGTGCTATTTTATAGCAAATGTGAAGTTTAGCTCAGTGCAATACACCACAGGTGGTCTGAAAAGCTGTGGAATTAACTATTTATTGTACAGTTAGTCTTCAAGTCTACAATGCATTCTAAATATCCACTTTCTTACTACCAATATTCCTAAATTTTCATTATGTAACATTTCAGGTAGACTTGACATGTACAGTTCAAATCACAACTTTTCCTGAATAATGAACTTTAGAACTGATCAAGGCCTAATGAATTTTTCAGATCACAAATTGACTATATATTTTATGTATATTAGAATATGAGCAGGCACTTACCATGTTCTGCATCACCTTGTGATGAAGTGGCTGACTTGGGTTTTGCACCAACTTTATTCCAGTATTCATCCACAGACTCCTCACTTCCATTTTGCACTGAAAGACAATGATTTTTTGGGTCCAGTTCAGAAGCTAATGCAATTAAAGTGGCCAATATTCTAAGCTTTATGCATGTCATATTATTTGGCAACTAGTTGAAAGTAGAATTTATGTACATTCAAAACCATGTCCAATTATAGTAATTCACAATTTTTACATAACTACTCAAAATCCATTGCTTTGCTATAATTAAACAGTTTCAATTGACACTACAGTCCAATCATAAGTATTGGCAAACTTAGATCAATATTTTCATTATAATGACCAGATAAATTTGATCTTGTTCACTTGATCAAGGCTGGTTTTAGGACACTCAGTAGTAGTATACTGAAATGATTCTATGATGTAGTTTACAAAATGGAGAGTCATTTTAGAAAATAATGATCTGAGATTTAGCCATAAATTCAATGAGAAACCAAAATATCATACAGATAGGTTAGAGGGTAGGTCAGTAATCAAAATATACAAAAGTAATTTGATTTTTTCCTCCCTTGTTGCCAGTGATAGATTTCATAAAAGAAATAATTGGAAAAATAATTTTTGAATCCCGAAGTTCAATGTTATGGCTGTAAATCAGGCAGGACATTGAAGACTGAACACAAGAGGTTGGAGTGATGGCTGAAAGTTTCCACAAGATTCCCAATAAATCTCAATATGCAGGGGTTTGTTGATTTGGACAAACATCACTGCTGGGTCATTCAAGGCTATTGATGAGGTATGCCCTGAAAGTGGCTCACAGAATGAGAAGAGATGATGGAGGCTTGGGTGAGGAATTTAGGTAGTGTGATAGATCAAGTCCTGAGGTCACATGTATTCACAAGTGTTATCACCGTCTTGAGCAAGGTAGCAAGTTGGACCTAAGGAATTTGGAAAAGAAAAAAATTCATGTAGGACTAATGATATTGGGAGGGAACAGTAAAAAGTATCAGAAAGAATCAGGCATTATATCTAGCAATATTTTTATAATGTAGTTAGATGTCGGGAAAAGTGACAAAATTACAGGGCCACAGTGAAAGATATCTATAATACTGTCAATGAGCAATCCACAGATTGAAGCAAAGAAGGAGGGAATTAATGTCAAAGAAAAGTAGTGACAATAAATGTAGTCAAATCTATGAAGTGAGAAAACCATTTAATCATGGAATATTTAAATTAATGTTAAATTCCAGTGTACCGCACTTTAAGAAGGATATGAAGATTTTAGAGAGTTTAATGACATGCCATAAGATGATACCAAAAATAAAAAGGGTAAGGTTTTGGAGTACCTCAATAGAAAGGGTAATAAAGAGAGGGGAGCCACTGGTCAGCCATGCTTGTTGACCAACGCGACATGTATTAGACTCTTACCGCTCATAGCCTTTCGTGTACTTTTCCGCCTCTTTTCCTCTTTCCTTTTTCGCTCTGGTTTTGCGGTTTGCCCCAAGTTCTGGCGCTCGTTGTGTTCGTTCCCCGTCTTTATTTGCTCTCTCGGATTAATGGGATATTTAGACGCGTCCAACGCCTTTTTCTTTCCCCGCGGTTTTTCTGGTTGCGATCGGCTGGATAGCGGAGTTGTTGAGACTTTGGATGGTCTCCGAACGATCTTCCTCCGAGAGAAACCACCTAGCTTGACGTTTTCGGCTCTGGATTCGTTGTCCTGATCCTCCGAAGCCTGCTCGGAATCGGAGGAATAGCGGGTTTTCTTGTTTTTGTTGGAGCTACTGGATTCTCGGGAGACCCTACGGTATTTTCGCCGCCCGCCAGTCACTGAACTGCCTCCTATTGACTGATCTTGGCTGAAATGGTCCCTCTCAGAAAGGGCATCGCTGCCCAGGTCCCGATTAGCCGAGTGAGTTCCACAGCCCGCATTGTCGCCTTTCGCTTTCATAAGTGTCTCTTTTTGGCAGGCACTGCAAAATCTCTTCTCTTTCTCAGGGGCAAGCGGGGTCTCCAGAGTCTTGCTTCCACTTCGAGCCTCAGAGGCGGAAAGCATCTGTCGGACAGGCGGAGGGCGCGGATTGCACATCAGGTGAGTGTAGGATACTTTGTTTCTTACAGGCATGGCATCAAAGAAGTCAAATGATGATTCTTCATCTTTGGAAGACATTTCTTCAAAAGAGCCCTGGAACACTCCTGGTCGGTGGCTGGGGATTGGAGGAAGACTAGCTTTCCTGCGGTAACTTCGCGCTTGATCCTGTAACCAAGCCAACACACTCGCAGAAGGTACATATTCTTCAACAGACTCCAGAGATCCATCACTCTTTGAGCCTTCACCCATTTTCTCATCATTCGGTGATCCAGGCGAAATCAGCTGCTCGCTGTTCTTTGTTTCATCCTTTTCCCCGGTTCCATTTTTATCTAAAACTCCACGTGGGCTCCTTTGGTGTGAGGGCTTCTCAGGAACATCATGTTGATACGTGTTCGTTGAACACTTGTGGCTTCCATCGGTTATACATGGCGTGGGTTCCAGTTTGTCCAGCGTGGCTACACAATGGGGAACCTCATCTCCCACGGCTTGAGACTCGGGGCCATTTCGGGGAGACTTGCTGGAATCCAACATTATCTCTCCACTGGTCGCAATTGAGTACTCCTTGCGAACCTCCTTTTTCTGAATCGTCTTGTCTGGGTCGAATGAGCCATAAAAGGGAACTCCGCCCTCACATGCGCTTACAGACCACATTTCACATTGGATACCGTCCTCTCCCTTGTTGGGGGTAGGATTATATATCGGAACCGTGGCTTCAAACGACCGCCACACATTAATAGAAGGTGCTCCTTCACTGCATTGTATCCTGATCTTCTCCTTTTGAAATGCAAATCCACCTGGCTTAGTGTTTTTAGGTGCCAAAGCAGCGCTCACTTCTTCTGTTTCATTTAGTTCACCTCGAATTCCCTTGTGAGAAACTCTTTCTTGGGCGGGTACAGGTGTACTGTCCGAATTAGTTTCGATACCCGAAGACTTTTGAACTCGTGCCTCGGGTGCTGGACTGTTTGACGCCAATGTTTCAGCAATCATAGCTGTCCTCTTTGTTTGCTCGAGATTGGTCTCGCTGTCCGTCTGTACTTCTGTATTCGTCACATTTTTCCGAAAGGGGTAGTGTCTGAATCGTGTGGAATGATAAAATGTTGGGCGAGCGACCAGAGAAGAATTAAGAAAAGGTCTTCTATAGTTCGTATGAGTTATTGGTGATTGTGGACCAAAACCTCTCGGATATGGCATAGGACACACTGGGTAATACAAACCACCACCAATGTCTAATGAGAGAGAGAGAGAGAGAGAGAGACACAGACAGACACACAGTTATTACTACGGTACATATAATCCAGCCTCTGAATCGAAGTTGAATACCTTTTTTGATTAAAAAGTCAGATTACGAACTAAATATCAAACAGTACACCTCAAACGGATGTCGTGGTATCTTGAAATAAACAACCTCAACCAACTGACAAGTGAACGCTAGACTAACTTTAGAAAGTTCCGAATAAAGCACATGCCCCCTTCCCCCCAATAATTATACAACGGGGTTTCCGGAGATTCCTTCCTGCATCATGGCACCAACATTTTGCCCTCATCATGTTGAGCAACTACCCTTGAAAGCTCCGTCAGACTTTAACTAGAATGCCAGATTTTCAAGAGGGGCACAAGACACGTTAGTTATACAAGGTACTCAGCAGAAACCTTGGAGCTGATGTTCATAACATTAAAACTCGATAGGGATGTCAGATTGGAGGCTTTGATATCCATTACAAGCGCTACAGTGGATAGTTTCACGGTCGCCGCGCTACAGTAAATAAAAACTGAAAGAACTGCGGATGCTGTAAATCAAAAGCAAAGTTGCTGGAGAAGCTGATTTTTTTTTCCTTCACAGATGCTGCTAGAGCTGCTGAGCTTCTCCAGCAACTTTGTTTTTGTTGGCGCCCTACAGTGTCCGGCAGACTTAGAAGTGGCCCTTTATTGTTGAGGAAAAGTAGGCAGGTGTCGAAATCCAAAAAATTCCAAAACTGAACTATCCCTTCCCGAAAAGCAACTGCTCACACGGAGTATTCAATGCACACTACCAACATAACGGCCGATTATTCGAGCTGCCGTACAGACTATGAAGGCCTGTAACACATTTATCCAGATTCCGCGAAAGCAATGAAGTGGTTCCCCAGAGGATCCTTTCACTTCCTCTCCCCACCTCCTAACCCGCCTCGGGTAAACCATACACAAAAACCGAAAGAATTGCGGATGCTGTAAATCAGGAACAAAGAAGTTGCTAGAAAAGCTCAGCAAGTTTGGCAGCATCTGTGAAGGAAAGACCATAGATCGGACTTCTCGAAGATCACTGAATTAGGACACCTAGCCAGCCGGATCATGCATTAACCGAAGTTATCAACGATACCCATTATCAAAGTCGACATTTCGGGTCAACTTTCCTGCTCCTCCAATGCTATCCGACCTGCTGTGTTTCTCCAGCTCCACATTTTATCAGCTCTGACTTCCAGCATCCGTAGCCCTGACTGTACACATCACCAAAGTTTACTTTCAATGGGAACGCCCTGTTTAAAATTGCCAAACCTAAAGACATGAACCACGCAGCCAGTGAATAAGCAAAACCAGATGCTCCTTAGGCGTAACCATTGACCTCAGTGATGTTACAATTGTGTTGCCGCTTACCTACTGTCGGGTAGAAGTACGGATGGAAGGCTGGAGGGTGCATGAAGTGGGACACAGGAGGTGTAAACATGTGTGGAGTCGGCATTGGTTGGAAAAAGAAAGGCCTGTTGTGGTTAGGTGCGTGACCATCTTCTGCTCTGTGGCCGGTTGGTGAAGAGTTCATCACGATTGGCAACAAGCAAAGAATTAAAATAAAAATGCAACTGGCTATTACTGGTGGCAAATTCATCAGAGCTCCAACTGCAAAACAAAGACGATTTACAAAGCTCGCAAAACTGCTCTACAAACACGTTACATTTCTATTTAACAAATCCATTCCTTTTCGGAAAGCCAACGCATTTTTTTGTTGTTTACATAACTTTTCACCTGAGAAATTTTCGCATAAAGGTTACCTACCCAAACTACAAGATCCCTCTTTAACCCAATAGTCGGAGAAAAGAAACAGTAACTTTGAAAATTTCCATGGCCGACTCTTTACATTTACGCTACTGCTACACCCTTAGTGAATCACCTGTCTTCTCTCCCATCACCCCCACCCCCTACCATCCATTTATCAATTAGGGACTAACACGTAGCCAGTCAGGATAAGCCGCTAATTTCACTTCTACAGCAGCAACCTGTAATACTCCGCGCTCTGCTTATTGGTCTTCGCGTTGTAACCGTTAATGTTGTAATTCGTTTTGGCTCGAGTTTCCCTCAAGCGAGAAAATTATAGTTATATTAAAATTAAGTTATATTAAAATAATACTAATTTAAAATTAATAGTTTCCTACAATTTTAATTCCTTGTGATTAATGATAATAAACTATATGATTAAATACAAATAAGGTTAATTAGACGTTCACTGTGATCTTTCCATCACCTAAGCCCCTTGTTTGTCCCTGGTTTGCCTCTTACTTATATCCTCAGCTCAAACACGTTGAGTTGCTCGAGTTTAGATTTCGCACGTCGGTTTTCTGGAGCAAAAACCCACCTTTATTTTGGAAAGGCCAAATCTGGGCCCGGAGTTGTATTTGTGATGTTGCAATCGTGAACGTGCATTCCAAATGCTGATGATAATTCAACGAAAACATGTTCTTTAGAACATCAAATATACCTTACGTCAATGTAAGCGAAAGCTAACTAACATAATGTACCGTACTTTAGTTAATAACATATCCTGTGTATTTTAGAATTTCACTAAGTGTAATGAATTTGAATTATGTAATGTTTCAGTTGAACATCAGAATTTCAAAGCTCTTGTGGCAAACTAAATTGAGGAGCAAGAGACTAGCAGTTCATACCAGTCAAGAAATTGCCGTTGTTCTGATCTTAAGGGGTTAACCGAGTGAAAAGTGAGTTCCAAGATTGGAAACAAAACTTGTGAAGTTTGTCGCCAAAACCACCACTAGGTGGAGCGTCAGACACGCATGCGGAATTTATATGTGCGAATAGAATGTTTAGATTGAAAATTTGGCACACACCGGGGCAATATTGTATTAAAACTTTGATTTGATATTTCATTATCAATGTCACTCAAGCTGATGTGTGTTTCCGTCTATTGACCTATGTCAATTGTGTCTGCTTTGGACAGTGCAGTAGATAAAGCGGACAGGTGGATATTTAATGCTTTGTCGATCAAAGTAAATTCTCAGTGAGCGAATATGGACAGATTAAATGCATGAAGATCTGTTAGTAATTCCTAACGTGATCAAGCGTTTGTGCTTGCATGCTCTTCCTAGACTGGGAACACAAATTTCAATCCACTCAGCATTCTCCCTGGTCTGAGGATTCGTAGAATCCCTACAATGTGGAAATAGGCCCTTCGGCCCAACAAGTCCAAACCGAACCTCAGAGCACCCCACCCAGACCCTTCCCCCTAAATCTACACCTCCCTGAGGACTATGGGCAATCCATCTAGTCTGCACATCTTTGGACTGTGGGAGGAAACCGGAGCGCACCCACGCAAATTCCACAGACAGTCGCCCGAGGCTGGAATCGAACCCGGGTCCCTGGCGCTGTGAGGCAGCAGTGCTAACCACTGTGCCACCGTACCTCCTTCACTAGCTTGTGTTTGCACGGAGATGGCTCTTGGATGCTATTCCTAGATTGGTGGGAACACAAATTTCAATCCACTTAACGTTCTCCCTGGTCTGCTTCACAGTGATGCTGACATTCCATTCCGTCTGCTTACTCATGATCGTAATCAGTTTGATACTCCGCCCAGTCTATTTCACAGTGATCCTGATCTGCCTGAGACACCTCTTGCTTCACACTCTGCTGACCCACTTGGCACCCTTCCTGACCTGTTTCAGCAGTGATTCTAACATAGTTCGCACATCTCCTAGTCTGATTCAGGATCCTGGCTGTCCTCATATGCTCTCAATCTGCTTCACCGCAATCACGATCTGCTTCACGTCCTCCCAGTCTGCTTCATAGTCATCTGAACCATCCATTGTGTACAGTTTTGCTCTCCTTATGTAAGGAAGGACAGACTTGTAATGGAGGCAATTCAACTGATATTCACACAATTAGTTCCGGGATTGTATTTTGAGGAGAGATTGAGAAAACATGATCTGCATTCCCAAGACTTTTCAAGAAAGAAGTGGTGATCCTCTTGAAACTTACACAATTTTTCCAGGTTGTTGCAGGATGGGTACCGGTCCAGTGCGGCAGCTGACTCTAGAATAGGGTTATATAATCTCATAGAGAATGAATGGATGGCCATTTAAGACTCAGTTGAGGAAGAGTATCTTCGCTCAGAAGGTGGTGGATATCTGGAATTCTCAACCCCAGGAGCCTGTGGAAGGTCAGTCATTGAGCAGTTTCCAGACAAACAAAAAGAGATAGCTTTCGGGAGTCTTGGATATGGGGGTAGAGATGGTGCATGAAAATGAGATGGAGATGATCAGCCATGACTTAGAACGGCAGGGCACCTTCGATGTGAGCTGGACAGTTGATTTCTGGTCCTACGTTTCATCTATAATCAGCTTAGCCTTCCACGGTCGGAAGAAACTGCCAGTGTTTCTCAAAAATTTTAAACGCGTAATTACTCCTGAGTAACAAAAGAAGTAGTATGTATGTGAGCGGTTCGTGTAGAACACTGAGCTTTGGTCTTTGAGGCATTGGCACCAATGCAGGACGCTCTGGTACAGCATCGCATTGGAATGATGAGTGCGTGTACCACCAGGCGGCTCTGCGCCGCTCCCGTCTGCGCGCGGGTCCCAGGGCGGGCGCCGGCAGCGGGGCCGCGCACGCCGCGGCGTCATGACGCGGGCTGCGGAGAAGTGGGGGGAGCCTGTGATGGCGGCAAGGCCGCGGCTTTCGGTGCCGGTCTGTGTGCACGGATTGAGCTGGAGTGCGGGGCCTGCCGCCCACACGTCTCGTTGGCAGTGAAGTCTTCATGGGGCGGCGGAAAGGAAGTTCGTCGTCGCGGGGCGAGAGTTTGCGGTTTCTTTCGTACTAAGGTAGGCGAGTCTGCCTCACGGGGGAGGGGGCAGGTTAGCACGAAGCTCCGGGGCGGAGGGGGGAGTCAGGCCCGATGGGAGCGGCCTGTCACCCGATGCTTGGCGCTCAAAACCGTCAGGGGCCCGCGGAGGCGGCTGAGGGTGGGTGCGGTGGGTATGGCCCGGGACAGGGTTATGGTCGTGGTCACGGTCCGGGTTGTCGGCGCTGAGCTGGGCCCGGCGTGTGGGGCTCCGGGGCCGCTCCTCTCCTGTTACCCGCCAGGAAGGAAGTTGTGTTGCAGCCATTTGCCGCATATCTGAACCGGGGTGGTGGGTGGGGGCCGGTCTTCCCTGAACGCCGGAGGATTTGGGGGTGGGTGGGAGAGAGAGAGAGTAATTCTGCCTGCGGGACAAACTGCAAACTCATTGAAATCTGGAGCGGGGACCTCTCCAAGGACATTGCGCCGTTTCTGCATTTGGGGCGTGCAAGTGGCTCACCGGTGTTTTCATAGTTTTAAAACAAAACTGCGCGGCGATGAGGCCGTCAGACGAATGCACTGGAAAATTACTGACTACAATCTAACAAGATGAATCATGCTCCGTATGTTCGTCCGTGAGGAAGAAGTCAATTCTTAATTACTTGTGAGCCTTTGCTGTGTCTTATACTGCGGGCCAGTTTGGAAGCAGTAATTTTAGTGGGCGAGCATCAAAATGAATTGCAATCTGCCTAAGTAAGCTCAATCTTTGTAAGTCTTGAACTTAAGTTAGAGGCAGGTTTAGAAATGCGTACCGATCGGTGGAACGGTTGGGCAAAAAGCAGATGAAATCTAATACGAAAGTGATGGGAAGAATGGAGAGAGACAAAATTAAAGGACACAGTTCTAAAGGGGGTGGCTATAGGTGCAAAGTGATGTCAGTCTGTGTGCAGCAATTGATGAATGTGGTAGAGCAGGTCGAAAACATGGTTAATAAGGCATAGAAGATCTGGGTTTTATAGGCATTGTGTATAAACCTATGTACATACATGTGAACATACAGAGCAGAAGTGGCTGTTTGGTTCTGCAAGCTTGCCTCCCCATTTGATAGGATGAAAACTGATCTGATTGTGATCTCAACTGTACCTCCTCGACTACCTTTCATACACTTTATCTCAATTGACAATCAATGATCCCTGAATGGGAAAAAATTCTGAACAAGAGGAGGTCAACGAAAATTCAAAAGAAATATGATGAGCATAAAAAGCATGCAAAAATCAGCCCGTTATGTGAATAACTGTTCCAGCAGGGAAAACTGGTTGCATAGTTTCAAGACCTGGCTAGTGTGGCAGAGCTGATGGGTATATTCTTTAAGGAAAGAAGCTGGAATTCTATCTGAGGAAGATCAGAGCCAAGAAGGGCAAATGAACATGGTATTCTAAGGAAAATGTGATTAATAAACCATTTTTCACCCCCCAAAAAATATACCTAATGCAACCTTAAAAAGTTTAGTGACCCTGCTTATGTTGCTTTCTGGGGAGAAAAATTACATTGACTCACCACTCTTTAAGAAAGAATCTTGTCCTTTTTGTCTTAAATGACCTTTTTTTTAAACTGTCCCTATTGTTCCTCTCTCTTAAAAAGGGAAACATCTAGTCGACATCCACTCTCTCCAGGCCCCTCAGGATGTTTCCAATAAGATTAGCTCCCATTGTTCTAAACTCCAGTGGATATTGACCGTTTTTCCTAAGGTAAATGTTGCATCACAGGAATGCATTGAGTGAGTCTCCTCTCAACTGCTTCTAATGTGTCAAATATGGAGATCAAAACTGTACACGGTACTCCAGTTGTAGTTACACCAAAGCCATGTTGAGATACATTAACCATTCCTACTTTTATATTTCATTCCCCTTACAATGAATGCCTAAATTGCAGTTACCTTTTTAATTACCTGCTGTTCCTGTATACTTGATATTTGATTGATGTAGCAGGATGCCAGATTCATTTTAACTATTGGGTTTAAATAGAATTCCCTCTCCATTTAACACAGCCTTTATATTCTTCCTGTCAATGTGAACAAAATCTTTTTCTGACATTGTACAGCATCAGCCCAAATAAAAGTCTACTCACTTAACCTATCTATTTGCTTTTACCATCTCTTGACAACTTTGTGTCCAACCTATCCTAGTGTCATTGGTAAACTTAGATGTTGTGCAACTGGTCCTTTCATACAAATCATTGTATATTGCAATGGTTGAGGCTCCAAGATTTTTTTGTTGTTCACGGGATACAGTTGCTGCTGGCAAGGCCAGCATTTGTTGCTCATCCTTCATTGCCCTTAAATTGAATGGCATTGCTCAACAGCCGTTTTGAGTCACGTGGTAGATATTCTTCCCAGAAAGTTAGTAGTGAAGCAGATGGGTTTTTACAACAATTGATAGTTTCATGGTTCCTATTACTAGGGCTAGATTTCAGATTTACTAACTGAATTTCAATTCCACCATGATCAGATTTGAACCCATATCCTTGGAACATTAACTTGGCCCTCTGAATTACTAATCCCAGTGATAACCTGTATTACTAACTGATCCCAATCTCACTCCACTGATTAGAATTTGTCTAGTCTCCGCTTCTGTTAACTAGCTAATCAATTATTTATCCTGCTAATATGTCATCCCTTGATTTCAGGAGCGCTTATTTCATATAGCGATGTTGCCCTTCATCATAAGCCTTTTGGAAATTACATACACCACATCCACAGGTTCCCTTATATCTGCCTTGCCTACTACTTCCTCAAAGAACTTTAGTAAGTTAATTAAATGACTTTACTTGCACAAAGTCACTGACTCTTCTTTCTGTAAACTCCTTAACTGATTCTGGTAATAACTCTGATGCTGTAATCTTTTATACTAACTGGACGGTTTCTTGCTTTCTCTGTCTCTCACTTATTGAATGATAGTATTAGATTGGAACATAGCTGAATGGTCTACTCCTTATTTCTTGCTATTTACCAATTTGTTGGGCTTCTTCTAGAATTTTGGAGGATTATGACTAATGCCTCTACCATCTCAGCAGCCACTTTTTTGTTTTCAAGCCCTTAGGATGGAAGCCATCAGATCCCAGGGACCTGTCAGTCTTTAGGTTTAATTGTTTTCCCAATGCCTCTTCCCTGGTAATGGTAATTGTTTTAAGTACCTCCTTCCCTTGATTTTCAATTATCTTTAAGAATTTTTTTGAAGTCTTCTCCATTGAAGGCAGGCATAAAATATCAATGTTTCTGCCATTTTCTTGTTTTCAATTAGTTATTCCCATGATTGTCTCTAGAGGACTGCCGCTGGCTTTAATTAATTCTTTCCAATTAATTCTTTCCTTTAAATACTTGTAGAAACTCTCACTATCATTTTTCATATTTTAAATTTGCTTTCTGACATACTCAGTTTTCTTCTCTTATGTCATTCTTTGACTCTTAAACTCTGTCCAGTTAGCAGATCTGCCTTGTGTAGCCTTTCTTTTAAGTTTAAGGGACACAATAAGGTGATAGAGCAGGGTGGTGATTTTGCTGATGATGATCAGAGTGGCAGGAAGAAACAAAGTGTACAACCTTAGGTTCACCAGCCGATAAGACCAGAGATTGTAAAATAGTAAAAAGACAGCTTTAGAGTCTATATCAGTGTGTAGAGTTTGTAAATAAATTACTTGAAAGCCATTGCAGAGATGGTTGCAGGTTGATCAAGGCTATGACCTGAATATTGAAGGGTATTTGACATTTTTTTGAAATAACAGGAAATTTGGCCAGTTTGATAATGAAAGACCTATGACATAATTGCATGTACCTGTCTTGGTTCTGTAACCCTTAGCATTTTTGAGCTCCAAATCTAACAATCTCAGTTTCAGCAAATTTTATGTGCAAGTTCCAGATTTCAAATTTCCACGACCCTGCGAAGCCATTACTCCATATAACCTAGAACTATATTTGAACTATAATCAGATAAAAGCTTAGTGTGAATGCTAGGGATCTGAAATAAAACAGAAACACAGAGCTGGAGAAATTCGGCAGGACTTGTAGCATCTGTTGAGAGAGAGTTAACATTTCGAGTCCAATATGACACGTACTTGGAACTGAATGGGGGTAGAAAATGGTAGTTTTTATTCTGTTGACAGAGGGAGAGGACAGCACGTGGAATCAAAGTCAAGGGTGCCCAGAACAAAATATAAAGGAAATGCCAATAATAGCCAGTTTTCCCCTCAGACCGTCATAGTTTCTCTGGCTTCGAATTCAACCTTGTGTTGATCAAACTTCATAAAATTCTTTGGTCATTCTTTCCTGAAGATTCTTTTACCACATTATTACTTGACCTGTTTTCATTGCTCAATATTTAGACTTAAAATGTGAACTTCCACCATGGACTAATAACATTGACTCTGTTTCCTCTCTTTGATGCTTGACTGTCCAGCTTCTGAGGCTTTTTGCTTATGTCTGAAATTTTTCTAATTGCAGTATTTTAGACCAAAAGCAATGTAGCTCAGTGAGTACGGGGTGATAGGTAAATGCAACTTGGTGCAAGTGAGAACACTGCAGCATTGTTTTGGATGGCCTTAAGTTTATGAAGAGTAGTATGTGGGATTGTGGCCAGCAATGAAGTAAAAATGATCAAATGATCAAAATGAAGAATTCACTAGCAGTTGAACTGAGGTAAGGGCAAGTCAGAAGATACTACAGAGATAGATAAAAGCAATTTTAGTAATGGCACAGATATGTTATTGCAATCAACCATTCTAATTTAGGCCTAGAACTGTTGACAGGGAGGGAGGGGGAATCCAGAGCTAAACAGTCTAGTTTAGAGCAAGGACTGAAGACAACACAGCCTTTCCAATTAAATGCTGGAAGATATTTCTGCTTTTCAGCACTGGATGTCAGGTAAGAAATCTGATCACTTCACAGGGTGGAAGTTTCTTTGATAGTAGAACAACAAGAGCAGTTTTCTAATCCAAGGGACAGTTCTGAGACAAGAGTTCAGGAAAACTGTGACTAATATGTCAAAAACTTCCTCGCCTGCTTTTAATAACTCTGGAATGGAAATCAAAGCCCTAGAAATTTGTCCAATTTTGATTATTATATTTGCCATTTCTTTTGTTTTGTTCACATTGAATCTAGTTGGTTACCCCGTTATCCCCATCTGTAGCTATTCAGTAACTTTATTACTTCCTGATTTCCAATCATAACATCTGCGTTTCTTATTAACTAACCTTCAATACTGTTAGCCACATTCTTTCTTTATATTTCTAAAAATCTTTAGTGCATGCCTTGGTGTTCCTGTTCCTGTTCCTGTTTCTGTAGCTCTAAATATTTGTATTCCTTTGCTGTTCTTTGACAATCCATGGAATCACCTCCGTTCTTTGCCTACATTTAAACCCTTGCGGTTTTATATTATCTTGCTTTCCTTGATCAATGCTGTCTAATCACACTTGGAACGTTTGTCTTTTTAGGGACGTATACAAATCATATATGCTACCCACTGTATTTGTTAATCGTTCTGCCCATTCTGTTGTGGTTAACTTTACCTGAACTCTTAGGACAGTTTTACCTAAATTTAGGCTTTTGTTCCCAGTTCCCCTGAAACATAATATTGAATGAAATCATGTTAGTCAGTTTTAACTTAGCATTCTCTTACTATGAAATTATTGTCTAATTCGGGCCCAGTGCTCATCATTAAATTTGAAATGGGCTATTTGGTGATAATATTCCAAAAACTTGGTGAGCCGCTCTGCTTTACCAATCTATGAAAATTTAAAGCATTTCATTTTAATGGTGAGCACTAAAATTGTACTCTGTTCTCTGGATGGTAGTTTTGCTGGAATTTGAATTTCCTTCCTATCATGAGTAAATTTAATCTCTCAAAACAAAGCAATAAGTGAATTAAGATTGGTTATATTTAGCTGAAAGTTTACAGCATTTTTAGATTTGTCATCCTTGGGTGATCATTGGTACTTTCATCAATTAAAAAAAATTAGAAGTACTTGCGTATCAAATACAGAAAAAGAAAAGCAAAACTGGTTATTTCTTTATCAGTACCATTGTAATTATGGCTGCATTATTGGGTCACTCTGAACAACCTTGAGTTCCAGACAGAGCAGTACTTTAAAGCGTGAATTATGTGACATAAGGATTGGATCAGTATACACAAGTATCAACATGTGCTTGCACATTCTTCTATCTTCAACATTTCTGAGAATTTCTCTTAACAGATGCTGCCAGACCTGCTGAGATTTTCCAGCAACTTATGTTTTAGTTTCTGATTTGCAGTATCCACAGTTCTTTCAGTTTTTATAGTGAATAGTTGTCTGGCAGGCAATATATCTCCATAGAACAAAGCTGTATAGAAATTAAGGAAGGCTGACGTTTCGGGCTGGGTCTAGGCCCGAAACGTCAGCCTTCCTGCTCCTATGATGCTGCTTGGCCTGCTGTGTTCATCCAGCTCTACACCTTGTTATCTCAGATTTTCCAGCATCTGCCGTTCCTACTATCTCTGTATAGAAATTAATATTGTTAATAAGTGGAAATGCATAACTCATTTGTTGTTATCTGAGTATATTCTTCAAAGCAGCCACACTTTCTTAGCTTCAAAATTATAATGTCTTATGATCGTTATTACTGCATTTTTTAAATCTCTGAAGTGTTTTGATACAGAAGTGAACTATCTATGCAAAGGATAAACAATTTTATTGAATTGTTACATTGCTCCTTACAAAGGTGTAAGCATTTACATTGTGCCTGTCATATCTCCCAATATATTTCATGTCTATAGAATTGGCCAAATAACTGAATATCCTTCAAACCGTCAATTGCATCAAATGCCAAAATGTCAGTATTAATGTCAGTAATACCAATGATCGACTAGTAAATGAAAATGAAGATATTAAACCCCTCTGTCACAAGTCAGCACATATCTTGAAATCAGACATCAATTGTTCTAGTTAACTTTTCCATAAGGTTTTCAGTTGCCATCTCCTTCACTCAGTTTCTATTGAGGTAACATTTAGAAAGAATTTGACTTTAATATTATGCTGAAGTGCTGAATGGCCCTTTCCTTTTCTAATTCCCCATGTTCAAATATGTTCTAAGATTCAATTTGTGTATTAACATTGCATCTCTTCGGTAGGGAGAAAAGATCTATGAAATGATGGGTGTAACATGATAACATGGAAAATAAATGGCAATCCTAGCTCGCCAAACTTTTGGGTTACTAAAGTCTGATTTCTCCTTCTGTTGTGCAAAGACAAAATTTGATTTGCTTGTGTTGAATTCTTGTTTAAAATCAAAATTGGTTAAATATCATGACCATTCATTCACTGCCTGAATTTGTCCAATAAGATATATATCTAGAGCAGGTTTAGCTTAGAAAACATTCCTCAGCAAGTCATCTAATGTTTGCAATGATGTTTGTTCAAATTTTGCAACAATTGCTTGACTTTACAAATAAAAATATAAGATGAAGAAGATTTGTCTTGGATTGTTATAATAATCAAAAAAATTAAGTCTTTCAAATCACTAATCCAAAGTAATTGGTTCTTGGTCATCTATTTTGTAACATGCTGTAATTTCAATGATACGGAGTTCAATTAAATTATTATAATAGGAATAGTTTTACAACAATTACAATGGTTTTTGTAAATAGCCAAAATATCAGTTGAATGTGGCAGGGGAAAAAATCTGTTCAAAATGTGTGTCCCTAATTCTAAATTACACTTGGGTGCAGCCAGATGTGCACTATATTCCTGCTTGTCCTAGCAGCACTAGTAATGTAGTTCTGTTACTGTGGCAAACTGCAATGAAGTGCCTGTAATGTCACGTTTATTTTGGAAAGAGATTGATTTTTGGTACTAATGAGTACTCTTTTAGGTTCTTGCATTTGCGTTGAAAATTTTTAAATTTATTCTGCAAGACTATGTGATTAGCCATGATCATGGGGCTCTAGAATGTTCTTTTGGTAATGCTGCTTGGACATTTATGGCATACCCACATGGCCATAAGATTCTGAAAAATTATTTTTAATCAACCTGTTGCAGTGTCGTGACACACCTCCAGTACAGGTAGCGTTTGCACCCAGAGCTCCTGGCCCAGAACAAGGGATACCGCCACTGTGCTACAAGGTCTCGAAGTCTCTTTTTGTACTCCATTAAAACCCCGTATATGCCCCCTACCTTTACGTAAACACAGATAGTATGCAACTAATAACAAAGGTATACACTAAACTGTATAATTCAGTCTCTAATCTTTTGCTATTTTTTTCATTCCAGCACTGATACTGTCCAACACCAGGATTGCTAGTGTGTCCACCAAATCTACTCTACCTCAAAGTTAGTCATGTACTGTGACACAGCTTGTATCAACGGAAATGCTGCAACTTGCTAAAAAAAAATCATCTGGAGTAAAAGTGTGATATGATTGTATGGAATGACCCAGGGCTATTGGAAAGTGGAATATTCTGAAGTTAGAAGTCTATTAGGGTTTTACAGCTTTCAACATTAGCATATAATTCAGTGGCCATTTCTTATTTTAATAACAAATCACAGTTTTCAAGCTGTTTAGAATTTTCATCAAACTGGGTGAAGATATTCATTAATGGAATGCAATCATGTCCAGTAAGGAAGACAAGCAGATCAATACGGAATATGCTGTATCTTTGTTGGAGCAGCTTAAATGTTTCTATGACCAGCAGCTGTTGACTGATATAGTTTTAATCGCAGAGAGCACTGAATTTCCGTGCCATAAGATGGTTCTTGCTACATGTAGCTCCTATTTCAGGTAAATTACGGTAGTCTTATTTTCTTAACAGTTATATTTTAATATTGTTATTTCACTTTGAGATTTCTAAAGGTTTTCAAGATAAATTTGAGTTGTTTTACTTTTAATGAACTATTCAACTTCCTGTTTACATAATGTTGAGTTTTCTGATCTTTAGCTTCCAAACGCTGAGACTTAAAATCTTAAATACTTATTTTCAGAGATCAATCTTGGATTAATTTCAGTTGGTGCGAACAGTCAATTGCTTTGAAACAAAAACCTGATTTGAAATGACTGCTTGATAAAACCTACATTAAAAAAAACCTGTAATATGTATCTGTCCTATCATAACCATACCTGATGGTCGTATATAGGCATGTCTTGAATTTTAGAGATTGGAATTGGCATGGGTTATACGCATGTAAGTTTGAAGCAAACAAAGAGGGTGGTGTTTATCTTTAGAAAGCAAGAGAAATGAAAATGTCACCATAAAACTAAATTGCTTGACACTGCAATCAGAATTAAAAGAACACTGAATTAAAAGCAAAGTGTGTGGATGGTGGCAATCTGAAATAAAAACAAAAAATGCTTGAAAAACGAGATAATATTTCGAGTTCAGTACGACTGTTCCAAAGAAGACCACCTTGAATTTCGTGAACATTTTTTTCTCTTATTATTGAAGAAGCTACTCCTTTGAACTTCTCCATTTATTGTTGTAAAACCACTTGTCTAATTCAAATTGGAATTGAATGGACCATTTGATTTCCCATCCATCCCTTCTTTCCAGTGTTCTCCGGGATGTGGTACCAAAATACAGTTCTGAGTTTGCTGTCAGGTTTCTTCCCTAATTCTGTGTAAGGGAATATCCTGGAAGTTTGGAAAGTATTGTACAGAATATTAATTCAAGAAATTGAGAACTACATTTACAAAGCTTGTTTGAAATTTTTCAATATGAGCCTTTGGTTATTAACTAATCTGCCCATTTTCTTTGCGTTTTAAGCAAAATTAATGCCTGTGCCTTCATTATTTATAGCTAGTCAATCCACCAGAAATGGAGCTGAGACTTGCATCTCATTGTTTAGTTCCAGGATATTCTTACATGTAGCACAGACAGATGCCCTAATGCCCAGTGACATCATGAGTCTGTTTGGTTAAAGTGTGTTTGATTTGATGGAAGGAGATCATTAGCATAATGTGGCTTCATTTAATTCCAGGTTAGGCCTGTTCTCTGCAACAGGCAAAATGGTCATTCTAGTGCACCAATTTGTCATCAATTTCTTTTCTACTTTTATGACCACTGAACCTGTTTATGATCGTTTTTTAAAATATTCATGTGAAGTGGCTGTTGTTGGGCCAGCATTTATTACCCATCCCTTGTTGCCCTTGAGAAGATGGTGGTGAGTTGCTTCCTTAAACTATTGCTGTCCATTTGGTGTAGCTACATGTACAATGCCATTAGGAAGGGAGTTCCAGGATTTTGCCTCAGTGACACTGAAGAAACAGCGATGCATTTCCAAGTTAGGAAGATGAATGGCTTGGAAGGGAACTTGCAAGTGGTGATGTTCCCATGTATCTGCTGCCCTTGTCCTTCTAGATGGTCATGGATTTTGAAAGTGCTCACTAAGGAACCTTGGTGAATTTCTGCAGTGCATCTTGTTGATGGTTAGTGTACACTGCCGCTACTGAGTGTCAAAACCAGTTGAGTTTGAATTTAGTAGGAAGTACCAATATTGATAGTACATATTCGCATCCATTTAATTTGTGTTCTGCAATATAAAGTTTCTGTGCAAAATCCAAACCAATTACTGGGATTTATTGTATTCTAATTTAGTTTGACACCACGCTAAGTTGTGGGGTGCTCAATGACTCAATAGTAAAATCAAAATGTGGTAAACTTGGAAGTAGTAATTCAGAGATAGAAAGCTTAATTCTTGAATGAAGTAAAAAAAAAAGGCACAAATTTAATTTTTAAAAGAATGCAAGTGATAAATAACTTTTATTTGCTTTGGCTCAGTATTTGTTCTTTATTTTCTCGTTACTTGAAATTAGTGACTTGTGTTGGATCTCTCTTCAGGGCTATGTTTATGAGTGGACTGAGTGAAAGCAAGCAGACACACGTTCACTTGCAGAATGTGGATGCATCCACACTTCAGATAATCATTAGATATGCATACACGGGTAACCTGGCAATAAATGACAGCACTGTGGAACAGCTCTATGAGACATCGTCTTTTCTGCAGGTAAGAAATTAACTAAAAGTTTCCACAAGTTTGTACTCTAAAATGTGCTAACAAGAATCTTTTTGAGGATAGCATTGTTGTGCACAATACATTTGCTTTGCAGAGTGCGTAGAGACTAGAAGAGCATTGTAAGAATGCAGAGTACTATCAAACTGACAGAAGCATTTAAGCTGAAGTGTCACAGAACTATAATAGGCTGGCAGGAACAGGGAAACCAACTGAGCAAATTTGGCAAATGATACATTACACTGAATGGAATGTGGGCCTGTTACAAGCCGAATGATGATCCAGTGAATGTTGAAAAGTTCTGATGTTAAAGAAACAATAAATAAATTGACTTAACATTGCTAAATGGGGACTAGAGGTTGACCTGATCAATCTGCATTAGCCTTCCTTGTCTGAGATTTAAGAGTGATCATAACTTCTTGCTGCATCTCAGTGCTAATGATGACTCAACCAATCAGTACACTTTGTTCTCACTATATATTGAAAGATGTCTTTTTTTTTCTGAAGCTTGTATCTTGCATCCCAGATCTGATGAAGGAAAGGTGAAAAGCTTCAACTCTAGGCTCTTTTTTGCAGTGCTTTTTTTAAAAAAAATTATTATCCAAAGGGCTAGTAATACACCAGATGGTTTTGGAATATGTTGTCTGATGGGTTGGTGCTTAATTAGTAGCCTCTAAAAGAAAGTTGGCTGTTTACTTGAAGGAGAGAACATTTCAGGGCAACATTGGGAAATGGTATTAAGATTGCTATCCAAACAAACCAGTGCAGACTCAATGGACCAATGGTTTTCTATTGTCATGTCAGGGTAGATGAATAGCGGTTTGGAAATCCACATACCACTGCATTTCACGACTAGAAATTACCCATAGTAGGATATGGTGGAATCGGGGTAAGTGGAGGAAAGAAAGCAAGAGTAGTGGAAAAAGTGTGCAACCACCAGTAAGACCTAATAGCATATGACTCGCAGCAAAATAATTTTCAATTTTAAGGGTAATCTACAGATCGCCTAATGTTGGAAGCAGGTTAGAGTAAGAAGTATGCAAATAAACTAAGCAATTGAAGAAAAAAAAGGAACAATAATCCTAGAGAATTTCAACAACTTTAAAATTAATTGTCCAAAAGAGGAAGATAGAGGAGTGTGGTTCCCACAGTGCGTGCAAGATTCCTTTCTAATGCCTGACGCTCAATACAGGAGGCATCAGTAGTGGATTGAATAGTGGCAAATGAACCAGAGAAGCAAGGGAACATGATGGCAATAGTGACCATAATATGATGCACTTTAAGATAATGGAAGTGGATGTGAGTATGACAAAAACCAGAGTAATAAGTTTGTGATAACACTTTTTTTTTGAAGGTCTAAGAATGAATTTGGTAAAATGAAATGGCAATATTGGCAAACAGTGGGGAAAAAAAACAGTATTTGATAGAATTCAGGAAAAATGTATTGTACTTCAAAAAAGAATGAGCTAAACTCTAATGAAGCACCATTGATGAATAAAGTATAAAGGAAAATTTGGACAATGGGATACATAATGCAAGAACATAAGAGCTAGGAGCAGGAGTAGACAACTTAGCTTTTTGAGCCTGTTCGACCATTTAATGTGGTCATATGTACCTCATCTCAGCCTCAACTCCCCTTTCGTACCTGCTACCTGTAAACCTTTAACCCATTACTGATTATAAATCTGTGTATCTTAAATTTATTCAGTATCCCTGTGTCCATCACACTCTTGGTTAATGAATACCACAGATTCGCGAACTTTTGAGAGAAGTAATTCCTTGTCATTCTCTATTTTAAATCTGCCATTCCTTAGCATTAAAACTATGACAGCTCGTTGATCGCCTCTGGAAGCACCTACTCTACTTTGTCCGTCTCCTTTAGGAACCTTAATTAGATCACTTGAAAACTCTCATGAGTGCGGACCTAAAATACTCAGTCTCTTACGACAACCTTTCCATCTCTGGAATCAATCTAGTCAGTCTTCTGTGAACTGCCTCCAATGCATTTAGGACAGCAGGATACAAGAGACTAAAGATATCAGCAGAGAAGCATAAAATCAGTTGGAATTGTGAAGAGGAACCAAAATGATCAAGGAATATAAATCAAAATGCTAAATATACTACAAGCTCACATTAAGGGGGAAAAAGAGCCAGGTGAGAATAAAGTCACAAAGGGATAGACAATATGACAATATATGGAATGATAACATAATCATAGAAATATTAAATTAGTTCACATCATTATTTGTCAGAAAAATGGAAGAGATAGACATGACATTGGGAAATGAAATTAGAAATTATATAAGGTGCATTTGAAATGAAAAGAGGAATGATATTGAATGAGTTAATCAAACTCAGGAAAAGAAAGGAGTAATTATTCAGTTAACTATTCAAAGTAGTGTTTACTACTTCTGTTTCCCTGATAAATGCTTTTAATACTTTTCATATCTGTCTTGTTACTTGTATTATGTTGCCATCTTTTAATGGCCCTATTCTTATCATAGCCTTCCACTTCTTTTAATGTGTTAGTAAATATTGTAGGAGTTCCATTCCGTTATTCCTTTGGCCTCTTCTGTCTTAATACCAGGGTAGTTGAAATGCACCATGATTATGATGCTTTTTTAAAACTCTGTTTCTGAACTCACTTTATTTTTGCTTTCTTTGTGTTCCTCCATTATTAAGGGTAACTGCATCATTGTGATTGATCCTTTATTCTCATTTTTCTTGACTCTCATGTTCTGTTTCACTCTTCCTGATGGCTACATCCTTATCTCTTGCTGTTTGAGGGAAGTGACCCTGTAGCTTTCTTAAACTCTCTAGTTCCAGAATTTGACTTAATCCTGTCTGAGTGGAGTCATGTTCACAACTCAATATGGCCAAAGTGGCCAACTCTCTGAAGGGGGCAAAAGTGAGAATGGATGGGTGGCACTTGCGCAGTGGCAGTGGGGACTCCTGTAGTCTTCCCAGTCCTGGGCTGGAGAAATTTGGGAGGAGGACAGTGAAAGAAAATTATGGGATGATCCTGTAAAATACTGAATTGATTGCCCTGAGTACTCTGTCCATGGTGCAATGTACAAATATCAGTACACTTCTCCCATCAGTTTCAGTAAATACCTACATATGCTGTTTCCTTTGTGTCCCCTTAATTTCAAGCGGTATTGACCCTGATGATGTCTGTAAATTGTTCCCATCTCTGCAGGTGATCAGACCTATTCAGTGTTATCTTTGCAAGTCACATCAGTTGATCCCTAAATACGTGCTGCTTATAGTTTGCAAATCACATCTGTGATAGTGATTGTAGTTTCTAGCCCACCCTTTTTTTTTGGTAATATCATTCCATATTCTAGGTTTTGTGAATAGTCCAAAAACATACAAAGGTGGTTTGATAGAGAAAATCTGGACTTGTCAGAATCGGTGTTATTGAAATAATTTGAAGATTAATGTTTTCACGTCTTGTGATGCCTCTTACGACAGTGGAACTGTGGTCATTGTTTTAAAAGCTGTTGGGTGTAGTTTGGGTATAGATGTCCTGTGTTCAGGACAGTCACCTAAATTTGAACAATCACGTGTAGTCTAATTACTGCAGGTATTTTGTTTGTTTGACATTTTCATGAATTCAGCCAACTTATGCCCATTTCTCTGAATAATTTTATTGTAGCTCACAATTAAAATGTTTAGTTAAGACTGTCATTGGTTCCTGGGTAACAAGGATCCTTGAACATGCATTTCGTCAAATGCTGCCTTGATGTCAAGGGCAGTTATTTTTGCTCCATCTCTGGAGTTGAGATCTTTTGTCCATGTTTGTATCAAGGCTGCAATGAGGTCAGGAGCTGAGTGGCTCAGAAGCTGAATTGTCAATAACTCCTTTGATTGCTATAATGATTGAGAGGTGGTAATTGGCTGGATTGAACAAAATTTGTCCTGATTTTCTGTGGACAGGACATGCCTAGGCAATTTTCCATGTTATTAGGTACATGCCAGATTTCAGGAACAGCTTGGTTTGGGACACGGCTGATGCTGGAGCACAAGTCTTCAGTACTACTAATTGGATGTTGCCAGCTTTGCAGAATCTACTGCTTTCAGCCATAACTGAAAATACCTTCAACCATTTTTTAATATCAAGTGGGAGTGATTTGAGTTGGCTGAAGAATGGCATCTGTGATGTTGTGGACACCAGGAGGAAGCTGAGGTGGATCGTCCATTCCATGCTTCCACCAGAAAATGGTTGCATGTGCTACAGCCTTGTCTTTTGAACCATTGTTCTCCCAATGAGATTAACACATTTTTTGGATTGCTGCTTCCTGTTAGTTGTGACTGGATGTGGCAGAACCTTGATCTCTTTGGTTGACAGGCTTAGCTGTGTCTATGGCATTCTCCTCCTCTGTTAGATATACAGGTAGTCCGTTGTGGTAGCTGCACTAAGTTGCACCTGGTATGCCTGCTGTTTCTGCTGCACTCATCAAACGCAGGTTGATTCAATCCTGAGCTGTAAGGTTACAGATTGTTTGAATTCTTTCAGTTGATGGCTCACAGTACCTTATGGGAGCCCAACTTCAAGCTGCCAAAGTATGCTCTGTATATATCGCTGAATCCTTTTAACACTTTGGAATTGGAGGATATGCTCAATATTAAGCTGGGCCTGGACTCTGGTATTAAATGCAGATCAGACCAGGTTTGGGCAGTAGCAATTCTTTCCCTCAAGAACATTAATGAATCAAGTGAGTTTTTATGACCATCAATGCTTGTTTTATGGCCCTATTACTGAGAGTACCTTTTGAAATCAATTTTTTTCAAATTTTGTTTTATTAAAGGTCTATGAGAGACTGAATGGCAGCCTTCTGTGTTTTCATTTTGATTATAACAGCAAACGGGAGGTCACTGCAATATCTAAAGCTGGAGGGTGGTTGTTGAAGCTGTGTCCTTCGTCTCATTGTAGTCTATACAAAAAATATCAGCTTGTTCGTCACACTGTATTTACTGGCTTCGGAAGGCTAACCTTTGATTAGGTGGATGACCTGGCATTAATAGTAAACTACAGGAAAAATGTACAATTGCATGTAGGAAAAGGGATTTTCTTATGTCTAGCATATGAGGAACATTCAAATTGGATCACTTTTTGTGTTTCCATTGTGTACATCAGCTGTTTCTACTTCAATGCTCTTAGTGAGCACTCCATTATTCATTTTATTTTTTGTTGGTCCAACACGTGCATTAACTAAGCAAAGATATTAACTAATATGGTGATATTGCTTGTCAGTGAGTGAAGCTTGAAATAAGGACTCCAGCATCGGCAGTTCCTACTATCTCTATTTTGGAATTTGGTGCTGTGAAGGAGGAATGCTGTTCAGATCTGTTAGAAAAAATGAGTGGTCAGAGCAAAGGAGCCAGAGAACAGCAGTGGGACACGAGGTGGCAGTCTAAAAGAATTAATAAATTAGCAGTTAAGTGAGTGGTTGGAGTTTTTGAAGTTTTCTCGCTGAAAGGATGTAGCAGTTTAAACCGTTACTGGAGAGTTAAAAGCTTTCTCTTAAATTAATAGCCTAATTACTCAACGTAACTTCAAATAATCATTGTGATATTTCTGAAATTAACTATTGAAATAAAATACAAAAATGGCAGGAAGCATTTTGTGTGTTTGAGCCATTGGTCAGCTGCCATAATCCACAGCAACATCTACAGTAAGTGCCTACAGCTTGAGGAACCTTGGCTAGGAATTGATGACTTGGAATCTGAGCTTCAGGCACTGATGCGTCTGGCAGAGGGGAAACATTATCTGGACACTTTGTTCTAGCAGGATCTTAGGCTATGTGCTGAGATTTTAGACTGCAGTCAAGTACAAGAGGTTGTTACAACATCATTCCCCTCAATAGTCACAACATGAGACATTAAGGCAGAGTAATCATATGTGTAATGACAAACAGATTGTGGCAGGAAGGAGCAGTGTGCAGGGTCTCGCTGACATGAGAGCTTGCAAGAATGATAGAACTAAAGGATCTGTAATCTGAATGCATGCAGCATTTGTAACAAAATGGATTGATAATAGTGTGCATAGAAAAAAAAATGAACTCTTCAACATTTCAGATGTGGTTGCGTGGTTCAAAGGTTGGGACCTAAATATTCAAAGATATTTGACATTTTGGAAGGATAGAAAGGTAGGAAAAGATAGTGTAATTGCAGAAATATCGAAGACGACGTCATGGGGCTTGTAGGAAATGTGCAATTATTATAGGAGATTTTAAACCTGTATATTGGACATAACCAATTGTCAAAGGTAGCATGTAAGGTGAATTCCAAGAGTATATTCAGGACAGTTTCTTAGTGCTACCAGAAGTAGGCTATTTTAGAGCTGTTCATGTGCAGTGAGACTGGATTAATTAATGACTTAAAAATAAAGGACCTTTTAGGCAACAATGATCATAACATGGCATTTCACTTTTTGTTTGATGGTGAGAAGTGTGGATTTGAAGACTTTTATCCTTTTTAACTGTCTTTTAAGTTTATGAAGACAAAATTGACTGAATTCAACTGGTGAAATTCATTAAAAGGTAGGACGGTAGAGAAGCACTGCTAGGTATTTTAGAAATCAGCAAAGTTATGTTCCATCAAGAAAGAAAAATAATCTGAGAAGGAGTAGCTAATTTAGGAGATTAAGCATAGTGTAAAACTGAATGAAAGCACCAACAATAATGTGAAGATTAGTGATTGGGACTGACAATCATTTGCCATATATGTTAGTGACCTAGATGGTGGGAGAGAAGGTACTATAGCCAGTTTTGCAGATGACACAAAAATAGTGGGAAGGCAAGTGGTGAAGATGCCACAAGGAATCTGCAGAGGGATATGAATAGGTTGAGTGGGCAAAAACTAGGCAGATTGAGTTTAATGTGGGGAAAATGAGATTATATGTGCACTTTTTGGCAGGAAAAATGAAGGAGATGAATATTAAATACAGAAAGCTGCAACACAGTTTTGCAAGTCCTGTGCCTAAATTAGAAAAAAAACTAACAATAAAAGTTCAACAGGTGATAGGGAAGAGTTATGGAATTTAACTTTTATTTCAAAGGAAGTGGAGTATAGCAATAGGGAGGGTGGGCCAGAAAGTAGGAAATTATAAGCCAGTTGGCCTAATGTTTGTTAGAGAAATTGCTGAAATTCATTCTTAAGAAGGGACTAGCACAACATTGTTTCATTACTTTTCAAATCGGGCAGACTTAGTGTGGTCTTGTGAAAGAGAAATCACATTTGACAAATTTATTAGATGAGCACGGTACATAAAAAGAACCTGAAGATGCTGTATATTTGAACTTTCAAAAGGCATTTGATACTGTGCACCATCAAACTTCATCGTGTAGGAGGTAGCATATTAGTATAGATGGAGGATTGATTAGCTAAGAGTAAGCAGAGAATAAGGATGTGTGGTTATTTGCAGTTGGCAAACTGTAAGGAGTGCTAGGTGCTAAACTATTTACAATCTTTATCACTGACTTGGATGAAGGGATTGAATGTATGGTAGCTAAATTTGCTGATGATACAAAGCTAAGTTGGAAAGCAAGTTGTCAAGACAGTTTAAAAAATGAATTTAGATTAAGTTAGTGTGCGGATATTTGGCAGATGGCATATGATGTGGGAAAACGTGATTTTGTTCACTTTGGCAGGATGATTTAAGAAAAAGTTATTTAAATGGTGAGGACTTGCAGAACTCTACAATTCAGAATGATGTGGGTGTCCTGGTGCATAAATAACTAAGTTTTATATGCAGTTATAGCACAAAAATCTATTAGGGCAGTAGACCATAAGGCTAGTTGAGCTTGCTCTTTCATTAATTTTGATCATGACTTACCTTTGGCTTTAAGTTTCCCATTTTCTGTCTGCTCCTCATTTCCCTTGATTCTCTGAGACCAAAATCTGTCTAATCTTGTGTGTGTTCAATGATGGAGCATCTACAACCGACAGGGATGGAGAATTCTAAAGATTTGCAATGCTTCCCTCATCGTTATATGATCAGCTCCTTAATGTGGAGAACAAAACAGTACATAATACTTCAGATGTACATCCAGCAAAATCCTGTATAATTTTTAGCAACATGTCTTTATTTCTGTGCTGCAAGTCTCTTGCAATAAAAAGTGAAGTGCATTTTTTCTTAATTGCTTGCTGCACCTGTATACTAAATTTCTGCATTCCTTGTACAAGCACATTCATCTCTCTCTGGACATGAGCACTTACAAATATCAAGCTTTTTATAAAATATTTTGTTTTTTCTATTCTCATGACCAAAGTGAAAAACTTAGGCCAAGTTAGAGTTTTGATTTGACGAGTCGTGAATGAAGGGGGCTAAGGCATGAAAGTTTCTAATGGCCACGTTTAGATCAACGACAATCATATTGAATTGCTGAGGTAACTGGAGGCCCTATGGCCTATTGCATCTCATTCTTATGTTCTTGCAAAACATAAAATAATTTGGAATTTAACTGTGAAACTGTAATGTAGAAGCTATAATGGGAAAGGTATGTTTAACCCAGTAGTGCAAATATATCTTCCAAATGAGTGTAATGCCTAATCTCGCTTGCTTGTCTGGTAGCACAGTACTTCATAGAATCAGACACCACAGCTTGTAAATGGAACCTTTATTAAACACCCATGGGGGTGGGGGAAGAGGAGGAGGAAGAGGGTATCTGACAATACAAGACCTGGAGTTTGTTTACTTTTATTTAAACTTTCCTCTTTTTTTCACCTTTATTACTCCTCTTATTTGAACATAGTACTGAAATCAATCACAATAAGAAGTGTGAGGCTGAACAGTTGCTTTAATGAAACCAACTATTGCTAGTTATCAGATCATGTTAGAAAAGTACTAGTGAGGTCTGGTTTGAAGTTCATTTATATAATTCAACTGTATAACCTGTTCTGTGTTAATTAAATGATTTTCTTTTGCAGGTGGAAACCGTATCTCAACGTTGTCGAGAATATTTAATAAAGAAAATTAATGCTGAGAACTGTGTCCGATTACTGAGCTTTGCAGATTTGTACAGCTGTGAAGAACTGAAAATATGCGCAAAGCGAATGGTGGAGCACAAATTTACTGCTGTTTACCGTCAAGAAGCTTTTTTGCAGCTTTCACATGATCTTTTGATAGATATCCTCAGCAGTGACAATTTAAATGTGGAGAAGGAAGAGACAGTCCGTGAAGCTGCTATGGTGTGGCTAGAATATGACACTGAATCACGATCCCAATATCTGTCTTCAGTCCTTGGCCAAATAAGAATAGACGCACTTTCTGAGGTAACACAGAGGGCATGGTTCCAAGGCTTACCACCTAATGATAAGTCTGTGGTGGTGCAAGGATTGTATAAATCTATGCCAAAATTTTTCAAACCTAGACTTGGTATGACTAAAGAAGAGATGCTGATATTCACTGAAGCCTCTGGTGAAAGTCCTCGTTCTTCCTTTTGTGCTGTTTGCTACAGCCCTCAGGCAGAGAAGGTGTATAAACTCCGTAATCCTCCTGGAGATTTGCAGAGAGTAGGGACGCTTGTTACTCCTGACAATGACATTTACATTGCAGGTGGACAGGTCCCTTTAAAAACTTCTATCACCAACAATAGCAAGGCAAGCAAACTTCAGGCTGCTTATAGACCTGTGAATTGTTTCTACCTTTTTGATGCTCAACAGAACACATGGGTCCCAAAGAGTCCAATGTTGTGTGCTCGCAACCGACCTTCTTTGGTTTGCTGTGAAGGATATATCTATGCAATTGGAGGGGACAATGTTGCAGGGGAAATGAACAAACGGACGGTGGAGAGGTATGATTGTGAAACAGATGAATGGACTTTGGTTACTCCCTTGCCTTGTGCTTGGCAGTGGAATGCAGCAGTAGCAGTGGAAGACTACATTTATGTCATGGCACACAATCTAACATTTTGCTACTGCCCGCGTACTGACTCTTGGGTTGAAATGGCTGCACGTCAAACAAGCAGGTGTTTTGCCTCAGCTGCAGCATTTGGAGACAAAATCTTCTACATTGGTGGTTTGCATATTGGAAATAACTCAGGTATTCGAATACCTTCAAGCACTGTTGATGGTTCCTCTGTAACTGTCGAAGTTTATGATGTGATCAAAAATGAGTGGAAAATAGCAACTAATATCCCTGCAAAGCGCTACTCTGACCCCTGCGTAAGAGCAGTTGTGGTCTTGAACTGTCTGTGTGTGTTCATGAGAGACACTCACATGAATGAGAAACCCAAGTATGCAATCTATCAGTACAACATGGAACTAGACCAATGGATCCTGCGTCAGTCTATTTCTGAACGAGTCCTCTGGGATCTTGGCAAAGATTTTCGGTGCACAATGGGGAAACTTTACCCTTCGTGTCTGGAAGAATCTCTGTGGAAGCCTCCACCATCTCTGTTCTCACAAGATGGAGCAGATGAGTTTGAATTGGATGGAGATATGGTTGCTTTGCCGTTGAATAGTTAACTAGAAATGGGCACATGCTGTGGATTCCTAAGACATGCATAACACAGCAATATGTACGTAACAAGCTTCCAGATCATGACAGGGTTTAGTCTAACAGATTAAGCAGTAACTGTGTTCTGCACAGCATGTCACTAAGTTTGCATAGTATTGTGTAAATAACTCAGAATCCACTTGTGTTGTATCATCTACTCCTAGATACCATGTGTTCTGCTAAAGAGATTATTGTATTATTGTTACAATGTGACTAATTTACAAAAGAAACATTGTTTTACTTACACAATTATCCCTGGATTTGACCACGAAAGTAAGAAAACATGTAGATCTTCCCAGTAAAAAAAAAAAAGCCTGAGCAAGGTGGCTGACTGCAGGTTCGGTCAAAGGTTGTATCTATTCAATCCATGTTCTCCAATTTCCATAAAATATTCCCATTTATTCTAGGTTGCAGGTCTACCAAGCAGCTGGTAGTTTACCAGATTTATTATTGGGTGGCTGTTCAGTGACTGGCAGCTTCTTGTAGTGCGGGTCTATGTGGAGCTTAATTCACTTCATATTTCTCCACATTGCAAGTAACATAGGCTCATCCATATTACAACTTCCTGCTGCTGAATTTTCATTTGTAAACAAGTTTTAGTGAGTAACAACCAGGTCTTTATTTTGTATTTCATTAATTTAAGGCAACTGTTACTGTAGTGTGATTGTGTATAAGTATCCTAGCCATTAGGTTTTTAATACAGTTGGTTTGACTGAAATATTTCAAGAATGAACTGTATCCTGCGTGCAGGAGAGCAGAACAGACCCAGCACTGCTCTGGCATAACTCCCAGGAACCACTAGCAGTTGTTGGGCTCTCCATTCTAACATGAGCACAGGTGCTTCATGTAATCCCTACTCGCATGTTCAGCTGCATTGTGTTCCTTTGGCACTGTATTTTGAATTAAATTAATTTATTAAAAACCTTCACAAGTAAATGTTTGCTTTGTTTTTGTGGTACAGAACTTGGAGAATATCTATACAATACTAACCTCTGCATGTTTTCAAACATTTTGGAAAAGTTTCTCATCTCGGTGTGGATAAACTGCCAGTTGATATTACAGTGGAACTTTGCGAATCATGTCCAGAATTTACTCCCCGTGCTTTATGTTGATATTCACAATTTCCAGGGATCATTTGGTAGCCCTAAGATTATGGTTATATCATCCTTGCATTTTCCAGTGTAGCTGTAGAATAAAGTGGGACTTTTCTTTAAACCTGAAATTGAACTGCAAACTCAGTGACATTTCCGAGAACAGTGTGACTTTGTTTTGAGGGAATAGCAACTGTTCTTTGAACAGAAAGACCAACTTTACTCTTCAAGGCTTGACAGTTTTGAGTATGTCATACAACTACTGTGTTTCAAAACTTTGGAGAAGTTAGAGAACATTGTCCCGTTGCACGGTAGAAACACAGAAAGCAGGAGTAGGCCATTCAGCCCCTTGCCATTCATCATGACCATGGCTGATTATCCAATGCAGTAGCCTGTTCCTGTTTTCTTCCCCCCTTTTATCCTTTGATCTCTTTAGCCCTATATCCAGTTCCTTGAAATCATACAATATTTTGGCTTCACTTGCTGTTGCAGCAAATTTCACATGCTCACCACTCTTTTTGGGTGAAGAAATGTCTTCTCACCTCAGTCCTAAATGGCCACATCATCAGGAACGCCCTTCCTGCATTATCTTTGTATAGTTCTGAGATCCATCCTCATTCTTTTGAACTCCAGCATACATAATCTTAATCTTAACTGATTCAATTTCTCCTCAGACATCAACCCTGCCATCCCAGGAACCAGTCTGGTAACCTATCAGTCTGGTAACCTATGCTGCACTCCTATAACAAAAACATTTTGCCTTAGATAAGGAGATCAAAACTGTGCACACAATTCCAGGTGTGGTCTTACCAAGTCCCTGTTTGATAGGAGCAGAGATCTCTTGCTTGAAGGCCAACATCCAATTTGTTGCCTTGACTAGCTATGGCGCCTGAATGCTTACCTTCAGTGACTGGTGTATGACAACACCTGGGTCTTGTCACACATTTGCTTTTGTCCCACCCCCCCCCCCAAAAAAAACTTATGAAAGTCCAAATACTCTACACTTGCTGGCTCTCCTCATCAACTCTTAGACTTACATCCTTGGATTCCAGTAATTTTGTCAAGCATGATTTCACATTCATAAATCCATGCTGACTGTCCAATCCTGCCGCTGTTTTCCAAGTGCTTATCTATTAAATCTTTTATAATGGACTCTTTTTCCTACTACCAAAGTGAAGATAACTGTTCTAGAATTCCTGCTTTTTCCTCTGCCTCCCTTTTGTAAACACTGGGCATCCTCCAAGCTCTTGGAACTGTTCCAGAGTTTACAGAATCTTGGACGATGACGACTATTTCTAGGGCCACTTAAGTACTGGGGATTTAGCGGCCTTCAATCTGATCAATTTTCCTAACACTTTCTTTTATTAATACTGATTCCTTTCAGTTATTCCCTCTCAGTAAATGCTGTGTTCTCCAGCATTTCTTGTTATTTGTCCTCACAAAACCCATGTATGTATTTTGGTTGGTTGGCTATTTCTTTGTTTCTCATTATAAATTCCCCTATTTTTGACTCTAAAGGACCTACTTTTGTCTTCAACTTTTGTACTCTTCGTGTACCTATAGAAACTCAGTTTTTATGTTTCTTGCAAACATACTCTTCTTTCCATTTCTTAATTAATTCCTTTGTCCTCCTTTGCTGATTTTTTTTTTCCTGGCCAATTTGCATGCCTCTTCCTTTTGATTTAATACTAATTTCCCTTGTAAGCCATAGTTTGGTGACCTTCCCCACTTTTGCACTGTTCAGAAATGAACAATTGCAGTTCACCCATGTGCACTTTGAATGTTTGTCTTGCCTTTCCATTGCGATCTCTAAGTAATGTTGCCCCATCTATCATAGTCAACTTGTGCCTCATGCTATTGTAATTCCCTCTTCAGACTCAGGACCTCAGTCTCAGTCAGCTACTTCATGCTCCATCTTGCTGAGGAATTGTCATAGTCAATCATTAATATCTAATTTTGGATAACTTTTGTTCTGAAAGATTTATGAAGCATCCAGGACCTTTTGGGTGAGGTGTTCTAAATGTAGAATCCTTTCATAGACTATTCAAAGAGCTGGGAAGTTCTGTGTTTTAGCAACATTTCATCTTCCACACTGAAATTATCTTGTTTAAATATTTATTTTGTGGGATCTAGTGCTGAAATTGGCATTTATGTTTTCCTGCATTACAATTCAAAGGGTAATTCACTGCCTTGGACATATCCTGAATAAAACAAGACTCATGGTCTATGAAGAATAAAGCAATAAGATGTTGAACACTCTGCTGTTGGAGAAATCAGTTTTATGAAAGTATTAATCAATTCTAAATTAAACATAACTTTACAGCTGTGCAAAAATCTCAAACAGGAAAACATTTCCGATGACATAATTACAAGTAAGACTACTTTTTTGGTATGTAACATTTATATCAAAGTTCACTATTTTAGAGTGATAACAGGAAAACATTTTCAAAGCTATAATTTTTATAGAATAATGAACTATAGTATACATCTCTGCAGTTTCACAATTTAAATATTTGAATAAAATACAACTAGGATAAACCCATTACAAAGATCTTGTGAAACAATACTCTTGACAGTCTATTATGCAGCTATAAATTTGATTCTGCATTCAGAAGGTAGTTCACCATGTTGCATACTAGAGGGATTAAAAGTGAAAGAAGCTTGCACAGGACAAGGATTCTAAATGCGTGTTGTTTTGAAGATTATAAGTAGACTTGGTTGATTTGAAAGACATTATATGTCAATGTTAGAAAAATAAATATGCTTGAAACAGGACTTTCAAACAGACTAGTGTTTGATTCTCTTGTCTTTTCCATACACAGCCCCACAACTTCCTAATATAGAACTTCACTACTTGGTTATCTTTCGAAGATGGCAAAGTGGGCCAGCCCCTGTGTTTCTTCCAGTAGCTTTTACCAAAGGCGTTCCGAATACTTCCTAAATGAAAAAGATAGCAACATCCTAAAATAGCTTTTCTGATATCAGAGTATTGTGTGGACTATATTTTAAGCCTCCCTTTCACAACTGCTAACCAACTTCACAGGAAAATAACACGCTGAGAATCGCTGTCACTAAATTTTAAAAAAAAATCTTAGAGCATGACTGGACAGTGATATTTGCAAAGTTCAGTTCAATTCTTTCGGCTGAATTTGAGCTTGTCAAAAGGTTACAAATGTTAATTGTTACAAGCCCCAGCGCACGAGTCAATGAATATCGTAAAGATGGATTAAAATTACTACTGTTCAGTTTCATGATTTGAACATGTTGCATTCTTTCAAGGTGGGGTTAACTGAATTCAGCTTTTTTACTGCTAGTTGAGTTTTAATGTTACTACAATGCATGCAGTGGTCATTCCATAATATTTTAACAGTTGCTTAAAAACTGATAAATTTATGTTCCAGGGAATGCTCGCTGAACAAAGTGAGTTAAGAACACGTGGGTCCTAATTAAAAATGATTACACTTTTTAATAATTATGGTTGTGGCAGTGTCTACAAATGGTTGTTCAAAGTTTAAAAATTGAATGAAAGAGTAAACTGTTTACCAACTTATAGTTAATAACCCCGATGAAAAAATAGGAAGTGTAGTACTTGGAAGGGGGAGAATTTAATTCATCCATGGTCCTGTATTGTTTTGACATAAAATGAGAAAAAAATGATTACTGTTAACAGTTAGTGAAACAACTTGGAATTGCCCAAAAACGTATGTTTTACATTTAATCAGCAGACATTCAATAGCGAAAACTGTTTGTTTGTAACTATATACATGAAACACTGATCAGACTTATTGTCACTTTTCTGCACTGGAAATATGGTACAGAGTTTGAGTTATTCGTAAAAGGAATGGTTACTGTTGAGTTCCTGCTCACTGTGCAAATATTGACATACCCAGTGCATGTACTCGGTGTCACACCTCTGATGTGGTCAGTGTTTCCCGCTTTGCCTTTCAGAGTGGGGTGTTGTGGCCTGTTGATTGAAGGTAGAAAACCAAGAAGTCATTGCAGACTTGGCACTTGTCAGTGCCCCTCCTACAGACTGACCTGTACCAAGAAACAACAGAAGTAAATAATACGATTCAAAAACTATCTTTTTCATGTCTGTTCTTCATTCAATTCAAATGTGCAGGTCACACATCTTACTTATGCAATTTAGTTGCTTTAAATGATAAAAACGAACAAGTAAATGCAAGTAATTCAGTATGTTCCAATATAAGTGCACAGCTAAAACACTGGAACCTCTCGTTTCTTTACAGATGATGACAGACCTGCTGCATATTTCAAGCATCTGTAGTTGTACTTTTTAAGGTCTCATATCTAAAATCGAAAGCTGACCTTACAGTTATGTATGCGAGTGGTATAGTTACACCAACAACTACAGAGTTAGGAAAGACTGAGAGCTGGATAAAATGTATCCCAGCCTTTTAAAAGAATCCAGGAAAGAGTGGGAGGTCTGACCATCGTTTTCCAATTCTCATTGGATATAGTTACGATGCTGGAGGATTAAAAAAATAAGCATAGATCAGTTAGTCTAACCTCAGTAATAGTTGATTCCAGTAAATGACTGGTATTAATTCTGACAGTCAGAATCAACTGACACCTCAAGGCATATAATAATTAAGGGCAGAGATAACTAGGTGTAGAGCTGGATGAACACAGCAGGCCAAGCAGCATCAGAGGAGCAGGAAGGCTGACATTTCGGG